TGAAATTTATAATGGATGATTATATATATTTCCTCGCGAAGAATCATTCCTGGCCTAGACTTCGCTATATAAACAAACAACACTCTAATATAATGGGGTAATCCACACAGGTTTTTCACTGGCTATGCTTTAGCCTTGTTCCGTTTAACCTTCCGTTATAGAAATCATCCTATAGGCAGGTTCTATAACTCAGGTTTCTTACTGCCTCAGATTTAACAATCTTCCGCTCAACCTTCCATTACAGAATCCATCCTGCATTTCTGCTAGGTTCTATAACTCTTGGTATACTACCATCGATCAATGAGGGCTTTACTAAAATAAGAGTATCGGGGTCTAGACCTCTTCAACTTCAGTAAACACAACCCTAATCATTCGGCCATGGTGGGATTCATCCTGACTCCTGCAGGTCCCATAATCTCCTCCGAGACATTCGATGAATTGTTCTCGTCACCTACACTCCGGGTTCTAGTATTTCAGTATATCAAACGACATGACTTATCAGAATCAACCGCGACTCCGGGTTTCGCAATATAAAAATTAATATTACGTACTTCATCCCTAACTCTGGGTCACTGAATCGTCATCGTTGGGATAACAAATACCTAGTAATCAGCCCGGCGAGTACCAGGTACATTTCCTCTCTAGGAACTACCTTGTGGCCCATTTTATCAGAGTTTGTTTGAATATTTCAGAATCTTACCATTGGCCAGGCCAGTGTATTCGAATTTCCTTCTTCCAATTTTCATATCTTCCGAGTCTTCCAATTTTAAAATCGTCGCCAAATATAGAGTAGTAAAACAGGTCTTCACTCTTCAGTGTTCCAAACGATAACCCTTTATTTGATACACGTTATTTATTATTACACTTAATCAAGGCTGCTTTGATTTGTCCAGATTACTAAGATCCTACATTAAGTTGATTGGTTTTTCCGTCGATCTTGTTTTCGGAACCAATGCTACTGAAGCCAGGGAGGCAGCTCATACAGCTGGACCCTACCCCTATCGATCCATCAACTCATGAACCGGGGACCAACGGCTTTACTTCCCTTCCGAAGCAAAGCGTGATCAGAGATTTTATTCCTCAAACCCAGTGCTGAGTAGCATCACGGTACTGAAAGCCTCTAGATTGACAAAAGAGATTCCTACGGTTATCAATCAAAACAACTGAGAACCCTCTCTCGGTAAAACTTCTCACCAGTATGACACAACAACCGTGAGATATCGTTGTTTTGCTTTTCTCACTCATTCGCAATATCACTAACATCTGCCATGTGTTACCATCATATCACCGAGGAAAAATAAACAGACATACAAAGTGACCGTCGTCTCATTTCGAGCATAAATACGGTTATGACGGTCATTCCCCTTCCAAAATCACGGATGAGGCGATAGCTGTGATGTATCAAAGAAAAAGTCTTATCCTGCGTTATACAATCGTATCATAGCCAATAATTATTATTGTGAGAATTCATATCTGCATGAACACGTACTACCTGCAGTCACGAATGCTTATTCATGAATAGAGATTTTGCAGCTATTCATTTTTTCGGATACCGTGACGCTTGAGCTCCAAGAATAAGGATGCTGACCGCATATCGTACCACATTTCTGAAGCCCAAGTATCAAGGGATCCGTAAAAAGCAAAACCAATAAAAAATCCTTGCGTAAATAGGAATTACCCTCTAAATATTGGAATTGTGGCTAGCAATCAAAGCAACTATTGGTATCCATCAACAAAGAAAACTTCAAATCGTTACTTTGAAATCCGTAAAGAAACGCAATGTATTTCAATAAGTCTTCGCTAAAATTAATAGTGAATTCATTTATTATTCAGATCCAACCTGGATCGGGTATCAAGATTGGATCTGCTTGTTTTCGGATAAACGTCAGTTTGATCGTTTGCTTTTAAAACCTAGCTCAGGTTGAGGTTTGCACTGACAAAAGTGCGGTTTCGCACTGATTTGTCAAAGTTCCACCTGTTGGTTCCTTGATGGTCCTTGCAATTTTTCGGAGCAATTCAAAAAGTTAAGATTTTTCGCTTCAATTTTCGCACGAAACTTAATAACGTTGAAAAGATATTTGTTTTGACAGTTAAATTCTCATGCGCTTGTCAATCCAGGCGTAACATTTGATAACGGCACAAAAGCTTTTGTAAACAAACTTTGTACGGCCCATTGCACGCGAACCAAAGTACGCCCACGCAAACCAATACCACTTTCGAAAAGGTGAGAGGTGCACCTACCCGATGATGTTGCTACAAAGTTTGTTTACAAAAGCTTTTGTGCCGTTATCAAATGTTACGCCTGAATTGTGAGTTGTGCTAGTTTTGAGATTTATTAAGCATCGTAAACAATGACGCGTACGTAAATGAGAATTGATATTTCCGATGGATCATAAAAAAGTGGCTTTAAGTTGCATGTTAAGAAATGGGATTTTTGAATATAAACGGATATTTTTCGACATTGTAACGTAATAGCACCCACATATTTATTTGTTACAAGGAAAATGAAAATCCAACGTTTTTTTTCAAAATGTTTCGAATGTTCTGAACTCAACAACTTTTATCAAGAACAGGGAAATGAAGAAGCATTATTTTCACTTCCCACTTATAAATGCCCAACAGAGATGATCAGTGAGTGAATGATTTTGCTACTCTCTCCTTGTCATTTAATCTAACTGTCATGGATGGCTTTTATGAAGACAGTCTAGTGAGGTAGAGGTGTTTCCAAGTGATATGCTAGTTGACCGTCATTTCTGAGATGTGACGGTTATGCGAGGATGACCGTCAAGGTACAATAACCGTTATGATAATGCACAGCACTGAGTCAGACCGACTGGGATTGACCTAGACTCTTTGGGGTGAGATGCAATCACGCTTACCACTATACCACCGGCGCTGCTATTCTCAACTCGCTGCATTTCCTCAATCGAAAGGGGGACATATTCTATCTATGGAACAAAAATGTGTGTTTCCTTTGTAAAACGGAGAAGCATCGGAAGATCCATGCTTCTTCTATCTTCTTCTTCGGATTTCAAGCTTATTCCTTATCGCATATTAGCTTATAACGTGTTCTCAACTTAGTGTTCTACATGCACTTCCACAGTTATTATTTGAGAGCTTTCGATGCCTGTGCCATTTTTTTTTTGCATTACTATAATTGTGTGGCAAATATAATCATACTCTATTATGCCCAGGGAAGTTGAGAAATTTTCCAACTCGAAAAAGTCCTAGACCGGACCGGGAATCGGACCCAGCCACCTCCAGCATGGTTTTGCTTTGACTGAGCTAAGGGAGGTTTTCATGCTTAATATAACTCACACCTGCAGTAAATAACTTTGGTCAGATTTTTTTCCCAAGTGACTCCTCTGTGCGTCATAGTTGTATTCAAGAATCATTGGGTACACTCTGTAATTGCCCCCAATTTGAGTTAATCTACAATTTGGGTAGCTCATTCATCTAAAGTAGTAGTATTTTTTCCTTGAGTTGTTTTTCGTCGATCTTGTTTTCCGTGCTGAGCACCAATGCTACCGACGCCAGGGAGGTAGCTTCCACACCTGGACCCACCTATCGACCCATCACTCATGAACCGGGGGACCAACGGTTATGCCTCCCGCGGACCCGACTGGGATTGAACCCAGGCCTGCTGGGGTGAGAGGTAATCACGCTTACCACTACACCACCGGCGACGCTTGTAAAGTAGTAGTCTGTTTCAGCTCAGACATCACCGCAAAGCAAAATCATTCCATTCCATAGTTCCGCAAAGTTCTCATAACAAAAGCTCGCAGGGAGACAAGAGATCGTTGCATCTGCAGAAGAAGTAAAGAAAAAAACTGTCCGTCGTATTTAAGCATTTCTCTTTCATTCTTCTCCATAGACAGGACCTAACTGTATTTTTCTTACGCGCGCGCGCTCACTCGGGCAAGTTATGTTCTGGCCAGGGTCCTTTCATCTGGTGGTACATGATCTTTAATGGCATTGAAACATGCGCATGCATTCATGCAATGCCTACTCCATCCACCGCCGACCGGGGAGCTCCAAAGGAGCAACGCATCTGTGCGCTGATGAGAGCCGCAAGAAGCGGGGCAGACGAGAAGGTGACGCGGTGTGCCGTTGAGTGGACTTCTTCGGAAAAATCACTTCCATTGGCACACATACGGTACCGATCGTCGTTCAAAATTCTTCGTATGCAACGGAGTGAATTATTTCTTTGAACTTTATGTTTTCAGGATTCCTTGAACTCTGGGGAGCCGCTTCGGTTGCAGTTTCCCAACACCAGATTTCAGACTTTGATGGATCTTGCACTCTGGCTGCTTGCTGCTTGGGCTTCTGCTGCAGCAGCAGCAGCAGCATTCACTCGCTCACTTACCATGTTAACCGTGTTCGTGGTCATTGTGGTGAAAGAGAATTTGACCACGGACGGGAGAAGCTGGTTTAATTTATGACGTTTATTTATAGTGGTTTTATTCTGATTTTTTTTTCTTCTCTCCACTTCACTTTAACGTACTGCACTACACTGTATGGGCTTGGAACGAGACGCTGCCGAGATGGACTCGCCGTTTTTGTGTGTGCTTAACGAGTGTCTATTGAGAAGGGACACGCGGGATATGCGAAGGGAAAAAAGTCAAAGGTTTTCTTCAAAATTAATGATGCTGCTACTGCATACATATCTGGCTGATGGAGTGGAGGAGCGAGACGACGGAGCGGACGGACGCAGGTCCCATGCTGCGAGCGTACAAATTGTGCACATGCGATGCGAGGTCACTTTTGGGCTTCTTTTCCTTCCAAATATTTTGATTTTGACCTAATTACCTTCAACGGCATTCCGCGCTGCTGTCAATCAACCCACGACCACGACGACGACGACGACGACGACCACGGTCCGAACGGGTGTGATGGTTGAGCGGGTGCGAATTTTATTTATTCGAACACATTTGTAGGCACATAATGTAGCTGTTCCCGGTAATAATGGGCATTATTTTTTTTTCGATTTTCATTTTCAGATTCAGCAGCATCAGCAGTCATCCAGGATCCTGATTTCAACGGTGAGTAAGCGACTTGATTCGGGCAAATTTGGAAATGGGTTTCGCAGTGGGTTACTGTGCAGTAGCTGCCGGATGGATTTTGAATTGCAATGTGCTCGGAACGAGTTCGGGAACTGTTGAGTCATTTTGAGTAATTTTTGCTGATTCGATTTTCAGTTGATATTTTTTCGATAGTGTTAGTGCTTTGATGATATTTTTACACAGCATCAGCTTACGAAACAAGTTTAAAGTGGGTTTAGTCTCTTGACACGTCTAGAAAAATTACTGCTAAGTATGATTTTGGGGTAACTTACACAGATCTGTAAATTTACACTACCAACTAAAGCAGGGTTTTAAATGTAAAATTACACGCTCAACTATCTGAACTTCAATAAATTAACGCTAAAATTTACACGTTGACGTAGATTTCTATCATTGTTCGTTGAAAATTTAATCAGTGTCAATTAAATTTTGGATATCCATGTTAAAACATGCATGCATGTAAAATTCAACAACTACTATCAAAATTTCCGGATGAACCGCATGTAAAGAATGCATGAATCTCATACTTATAATCGCTGTATTTGTAGGATACTTTAGGTGTAAAATACACTCGCAATCATTTGATATTCAATGATGGGCGCAGACTGGTCTACACCAAAAGGAAAATCAATTTTCACTGGAATCAGCTCTGATCGAATCGCTTCTAGTCGCCATGTTCTGATGTCCTCTTCAACTAGTGTTTACTACCCAGAAAATCCAGAAAAAAGTCGTAAGCAGATCTGGTAAATATCATGGCCGTCATGTGGCAATGAGAAAACAGGTCCTCTCATTATCATGAGACGAAATAACCTATCATTAGCTTTCTTGTCGTATTCCAATGATCAAGCACTAATGAGAATAATTCTTATGCGGTTTTGACATCAATATTTCTAACTGATTTAGATGAATTTAAGCAAGCAACCGTATGTAATCGGTACAGTGAATATGTTATTAAGATTTCTTCGGAACAAGTAACATTAATAGCAATAAATGAGCTAGTAATTACGATGATCACAACACTGTCATGTTCTGTCACAACAAAAAATTCTATGAGATTTTGAAGAAAATCTCTAACAACGTTTTCTCATCTGACGATAGTGACAAAAGTATCTCTCTAAATATCGAGTGAGAGCTTTCATTGAAAATTATATTTGCCAGCCCTGGTCGTAAGGAAATTTAAAAGAGTAGAAGGGTCTAGCACGAAAGGAAGCTTGACGTAGGACCGCTAGTGGACGGAACAAATATGTTGATCATTTCAGGCATAATTTTTGATAACGGCACAAAAGCATTTACAAATAAACTTTCTTAAGCCCTTTACACACGAACCATTGCCTGATTTAGTTCTTAACTCTTTCCGTTTTGAATTGGTGGCCCTGAAAAGGGCCGGTTGTTTTTCAAATGGTGGCCACATCAGTGCAAGTCGATGCCGACCGGATGAGGGCGGCCTAGTCATGCTGCCTATTGCTAGAAGCCTTTCCTCCGGTCGATGTTGCTGCTTTCGTCGTCGTCGGCTCGTCTTCGTATTGCTGCGATGCGCGCTGTTCCAGTCCGTCCGTTGCTCGAAAGCAAATGACGAAGAAAACGATACGGCGAGCGTTTTCATTATCGCTGCTTTTCTCCTCCCTTCCTTTCATTGGTGAAAAGATGAGCGATCAACCGATCATTGAGCTCGCTGATGTGAGCATGCGCAATGTGTCGTGTGTTCGATCTGCGCTCTATCGTTGCGTCCGTGTTTGGGATTTTACGGTACATTTTTGAATTTGGATTTTTTTTAATGTAACCCCCAGTATAGAAATTAAAAACGTAGTCCTACGTCAAAAGAAGCCAGAAGTACTCCCGGGGAAAAATTGGAAGAAGCTTCTAGGTGATGTTGGAAAAAACTTGCGAAAGAAGTCAGGAACTGGGAAGACACTTGGGGGGGAAATTAAAAAGGATCTTCCAAGGGGGGTCCGAAGAAACCAGAGGAAATTGGACACATTTCCAGGAAACGTTAGAAAATCTTCCGGGGAGCTGGTAGAAATATCCCAGGGAAAATCAAATAAAATGTCTGGGGGAGGCCTGAATGAGCTTTCAGGGGAAGTCGGGAGAAACTTGCGTAGAATGCCGAAAAAAATCCGTATATGTCACGAAGATCTCTAGGTGAGTATCGCAAGTATTCAGTTAATCGTTCTATGTTTTTTGAGATGTGCTATTGAAAAAGGTGGTTTGTTCAAGAAAAATGAAAAACAATACCAAGTCAAATTGTCCCACAGCGAAAAGTAACCGCAAGTCAGTCTAATTAGAAAACCATATGTTCGAAATATTAGACAACACATCGCATCATGAGATTTGTCTCGAGTCAGATTTTGTCCACTTCCCCTAGGGTATCTGGAACATGTCCGGATGTGGCCTATATAGTTCTTACGATACTCAGTTTGACAGTTTGTCATGTGATTTGAAGCATTGCTTGATAGATTTTGATTTAAAAAGGATTTACCACTTCTCCGGGGATACCCGGAACATGTCCGGGTGTGGCCAACATGGTGCTGGTCAGTCATCATGACTCTTATTGATCTTATTTTTAAATTCTCATGTGAATTGATTTATCGCATGGTGGGTTTGGCACGTTTATGAGAAGCTCTGGTCTGATGAAGACCCATACCACAGGAGTGGAACTTTGGATCAGAAAGTGGCTCCACTTGTCATTTGCGAACACTAGCGCACCTAGCGGTAGAAGGCATCTTCCGCCTGCAGTTAAGATAGGCAGCATGCTATGATAGTGTGAGTGCACATAGATAGCCCGTGTGGAACACTACCACAACACATCGCTTGTTGAGCAGAAAAACGAACACTTTTTGGTTCACCGATTTGTTTGCACTTCCCCTTCTGTTCTGTGCCCATACTCACTAGAATATGTTCCGGCCATTGCTCTGGAACCAGCGGAACAAATCCAGAAACATTCAATAACGTTCTATTCAATACTGTGCTAAACTAATGCAGCATCGTCATGGAATTGTGACTGACTTGCGGTTATTTTTCTCATTGACGTTGAATATAATCGCAAGTCAGGCCCACTCAGATTTTGGCCATAAAATAAAAAATTCACGATATTTTCTCCATTATATTTTGGTAAACATAGATGCACTCTATCGCATTGGACGTTTGTTTTTAAATTTATCCCTCCAAAATAAGTGTCAAATCAGAAAACTTGTAAAATCTTTGAACGCCGTTTTCTCATTTCCAGATTTTTTTACAGATGGGACTGACTAGCGATTATGGGTAGTGTACACAACATCTTTCATCGTTCACACATCACTTCACAACCAAATAATAGAGATAAATCTTGCTTTCGGAAGGAAGATCATTCAGGGTAAGATTGAATTAACAGATCAAGCCTACGAACTTTCCACTGGAGGTTCAGGGAATTTCTAGGAGGAGCAACGTACTTAGTAACCTGCTAAAGTAGTTAGAGCTTCCGGAAGCAGTTTGTTGAAATTTCGGGAACTACCCAGAGGAAATACAGGAAAGTTCGAAGACCTTTCGTATAAAGTTCATGAACCTTCTGAAGGAGACGGCCCAGAGGAAGTACAAGGACCTCCAAGAGGATGTTTATTAACCTTACCTAACCTTTGATGTTATGATACCTTTTTGATGTAGGTTTGAGAGCATCCAGAAGAACCTTTCAGAGGAAATAGAGGCACCTCAGATACAAGGTTTGTAAGGTTACTGAGCTTTCTTTTGGTTGTTCTTGAACTTCCTCTTACAGGTTCCTGAAATTCTTCAGAACTTCAGCTAGGCAGTCTCTAAAGTATTTCTTAGATTTCCTAGATGCAGTCCAGTGGTTGTTTAGGGACCTTCTGAAGACACTTATGAAGATTCTTAGAGGATCTTCAGGAATCATGCAATGACAGTTCTGGGATATTAGTGAAAGGTTCTAGAAGAAACTTAGAGACTCTCCGTATAAAGGTTCATAAACATTCCCGAGGGTGCTTAGGAACTTCTTAGAGGAGCTTCAGAGACCTACGAAAGACCGCTCAGAATCCCTCCGGGACAAACTTTTAGGGGAGCCAGTTGGACTTCAGATAAGGCATCTTTGGTGTTTGAGACTCTTCTGGATGTTTCCAAATCTGCATCCGGAAGGTATCTGAGTTTATTTTAGAATTTTGTCGAAGTTCAGATGAAGTTCATATGCTTCCACTCGAATATCTCTGTATTTCTTCAGGTAGAACCTAGAGCCTACGCAAGTTCCACTACTTCTTCTAAACGGTTTCTGCATCTTTTCTGGCTAAATTGTTGCTATGGATAAATCAAAGAACACAGTATGAACAATATGCACAGGATCTTTCCAAAGGATCCTCAAGGACCTCAAATAGATGTTTTCCAATATATTGGACTGCTCTGGATGATCCCAAATCATTTTTCGGAAGGTTCTTGAGCTTTCTTTAAATGACCTCTGTTCGTCATCTGGAAGGGTTCTAACTTTCCTTTCATCTGAAAGATTTTTGAATATCCTTGCGAGGGTACCAGACCTTCTTCCAGAGGGTATCTGATAATTGTTTTGAAAGTACCTGAACTTTATCTGAGAATAGCAGAAACTTTGGAAACAGTGTTGAGATTTCTTGGAGGAAGTTCTAGATAAATGATAGAAGAAACGTTTTAGAGGAAACTTAGATGCAACGTATAAAAAAAAATAATGTCATTCTGGAGGATGTTTAGAAACTTTTCAGAGACCTACGAAAGAACGCTTAGAATCCTTATGGAAGGAGATAATTGTAAATTCAGTAGAAATTTTTTGTAGTTAAGGCTGCTTCCAGAAGAAGTAAAGGATCCTCAGATAGGAGTTCACCAGTATTTGGGATCCATCTGGATGTTAATCTGCATCTTCATCCGGTAAGTTCGAAGATTTCTAAACATTATCTTAACCTGTACAGACGGTCTCAAAAGTTTCTCGAAAAAGTTCCTGAGCTTTCATCGCTCTAGGTAGGACGGTCCAGAACTAT